TTCCTCCTCATGCAAAGATCCACACCTAGTGAACAATATATTACAGTATATTCATACAGTCATCCTAAAGTGGTTGCAAGGTTTGAGGTACAGCCTAGTTTGGTGCGGAAGAAGGGGCACCTCAGGCGGGATGAGTTTGGCTCGGTACCGAACCTATTCTCCATCAATTGTTGGGGCGAGCAAGTGACAAGACTGCATCATATCGTTCCATCACTCGTTTTCTACTGATTGTTGTCGCATACCCGATTCAACAATTAACAGAGAACGGGTCCGGTGCCGTGGCCATCTCATACTGGTTGACACGCCCCTTCATCCGCAGCGAACTAAAGTACAGGAGCCCAGTAAAGGTGAAGAAGAAGACTCTTGCCATCCCCAGAAATTTCTGTGTGGTGGTGGCCACTGTAACCCCATCTTTAAGTGCCACGATAAATCTCCAAGACGTGTAGGAGTAATACGTCGAGCACGATAGAATTCGGCGCCCCTGAGCAGGCGCTGCATGGCGCCTCTTCCGAGAAAGTTACGTCTATGGCGCCCTATCAAGCTGCAACTTCCTAACTAACTCGAACGCCACCCACTGCGCCTGCCCAACATCCGACCGTACCTGGTGCTCGTATTGCTTCATTTGCGAAGTAAAATATGAAGCGAAGGATTGATATGAAGCGGCTGCGGTGCTGCATGGATATATGAGTACATACGTGCAGCCGTATCTACCGTAGCGGTTATTGGCACGATGCCTACGGGAAACTCGTCCAAAATTGCTTTCTGAGTCGTGTAGAACAAAGGCTTTTTCGCAGGTTTTTGACTTCGCTCTTTCACCGTTTTCCTCACTAAACAGCACCCCTGCTACCATTTTAAGCCGAGCACCAAATTACCATGCCTTATGTCTTCAAGGAGCCTCAGATCAGGGCACGTCGTTGCTGGGGAATTCCCAACAGGGGTCGTATTTGGTCGCCGGGAGGGGGGCGGTCGTATTTGGGCTGAGAAAAATTTATTCTTGATAGTTGATTTTTCTGGATTTTTTTCACGGACGCGAGAAAGGGTGGGGGTGGTCGTATTTGCTTGTTGTTGGGGGGAGGGAAGGGGTCGCAATTTGTGCTTTCTGGTCTTCCTGGGAGAGGGGGTTGACTTTTCGTGATTCTTCTGTTTCCCCCCGCTCGACCCGCTTGATGAGGAGGACAGAGGACCAGAGGGGGGGGTCACAAAATCCCCAACCAATGATGTGCCCTTCCTCAGATTCACTGCGTAGGGACGCACACCCCTCATTGCTATGATCTGCTTCTCTGATCGCCTTGAACAAGCGACACTTTCAAGCGGATCCCTCATACAACCGCGTTATAGAAATGAAACTGAAGGGTTTGTTTTTGAGAGAACCCGAAAATCGATCGGCAAACACACAAGGCGCATGTGCCGAGAATAACCCATTAAGCAGTAACAGCTTTTTAACTCCTTCCAAATGTTTGCTTTGCAAAATAGGGCGGCTCGAACTGGGTGGATAGCAAAGGTTTTCGAACTTTCAATTAAACGTCGGATTACATATACCCACACAGTTGTATTTATTTCACAATTTGAACATCACGTTCAACTTCCAGGGGTGACATTTATGTTGTAGACGAATGATTCCTACTTGTTCCAGCGCCCACGAACTAATCCATGAATCAGCAAGGTATAATCAACGGTGGCCTTGCCTTTGTTCCGTCCGCGATACTGTGCAAACAACAAATCACGCCGCCACATGTAAGATCAGAACGGGCAGAGGCAGGTTGAAAGCGTGCCTAGGACTCATTTGTGAGTCATCAGAGTTTCGAAAGAAAAAAAGAAAAACGCCAACAAATGTTGAGAGAAGGAATGAGCTCGAACACCAGCATAGGTCTTAGTCACCATAAGCTGATTGTGAGAATCTTTAGATGAAGCTAAGGCAGAACGGACCTGCAGGAGCACACTCCGAGCATCCTTAACCACCTATCGTTTACTTGATTAACAAGTTAATCGATTCTAGAACCTCGAGAAACTCGCCTAGGTTGGCAAGGAGGTTTTCTTTACATTGAGGACTACAGCAAAGGTTGAGTGCATGACTAGATCGCTCACACGCATCTACTTTTCATCCTTCTGCCTTTTAAGCTTCGACGGCTGCTCGCGAAATATGCCTCAACAAATCCTTCGGCATAGAGTGGAAAAAGATAGCACTCCCTCAGTTATAGATACGTCTCTGTCTTTTTTAGTCTGGCCCGTGGTGCTTTCGCAGTATCACCGCGCACTGTCTTACCAGTGCCAATGTAGTCCAGTTCGGTGTGGGTGAAGGGGCGTGGCAGACGTATGAGGCTACCACAGCGCCAAACCCGCTCTGTGCCAGTTGTTGAAGCGGGTATGCGACAACAATTAAAGGCACAGTTCGCGACCGCAAATTGCGGGAAACGGAACTCAAATAGGCACAAAAAAGTGCTAAGTATCTGATTAGCGGAGAAAAGCAGCAGAAAAAGCAGTCCGAAATGTTATAGAGAAAGATAACATAGTGGCTACTAGCTAGTAGCTAGCAGCCGGTGAGGGTCGGCATGGGCCTAAGGGGTGTCCATGGGCCTAATTAGTCAGCTTCTAGCGGAGTTCTTGCCGTTTTTCACATTTTGAAAGTAGCGCAGCCTCAAAAATCGCCTTCCGGATCGTCCGACACATTTGAGAGGTCATAGCCTTATTTTATCGCGGAATGTGCCTTTAATAGGAAACGAGTGAGGCGACATGACACGGTCTTGCCACTTGCTCACTTCAACAAATGGTGGAGAACGAGTTTGGCAACGCTCCAAACTTATCGCGCCTGACACACCCCCTCCATCCGCAGCGAACCAGGTTATACCTACATCTGGGGTATGAGGCGCATTCAGTGGCATGGTAGCGAAAACGTGCACAGAATGTTTCGAACTGCAAGAACAGCTCTTTTTTTAGTATGTTTTAAATATTCTGGTCTTCTAATTACCTTCGTTATTCAGAATAGGTTACTCGCATAGACAACACAAAAGTACGGTTCGAGGTGCGCCTCATCGAACACCGCTCCTCATGCTCTAGGAAGTAGGGTACAAATATGAGCTGGAATTATGTGTCTCTCAGATGGCTTGCCGAATCAAAAGGGTGTGTGGCAATTACAATGCCCCGTGGATTCGTCCCTGAGGCCATGCTTCACTAATGAACCGACGCGAATTCGATGAGCCAGTGACATCATCATGATAACTGCAGCAACCTTCGCAACGTTTTCATTCTTGAACCGCAGTAGCTGGTTTGTGCACCGGATGCTAACGATATTTTGCCTTTCGAAACTGGCTGAGACAACAGAGCATTGCGTAGCGATGGAAACCACCCCTTGTAGGGTTGTGTGTCGACAAGCGCCCCACTATGTTGGAATGTTATTTGGAAAAGCCACTCTTATCTGAGCAACTGAAAGCATTGCCAACTGAGACCTTTCATCTGCATTCTCCTTCCGATGGAGTAAACAGCTGCTGCTTTTGGCTAATCAACTCCTAATAACTTCGTACGACTTCGCTTACAATGGCTTACGTTGGACTATCTGCAGTTGTAAGGTCAGAGGGATGGGAAGTCTGAATCCCTACTCTTTGGGCCAAACAAAACATTTGCTTTTATTGAGGGGGTTGATTATACATTGATTTAAAGGCAGTTGGTACGATAAATCCCTGAAACG